ATAGTATTTAATAATAAAAATAATATAAAGTACTACTAAAATAGTATTGTACATATTGCACCTTAATGACGGACATGTTGCACTTTTGTGCATTTGAGATTGCACTTTAACGTAACAAATGTGCCGAACTTGAAATATATATATATATATGTATATATATATATATATATAGTTTTTTCGTTAAGTTTATAAAGGTCAGTTCCGTTATTGTTTTTTCAATGACGGCTTTATTTATTTTATAAATAACCAACCAATTGCACTATATAAAAAAATATTATTTTATTATATATATTATGAATTTTCAACAAAAAATGATAAAAATTATTAAATAAAAATAATAAAATACTAAATATATTTTTATAATAAAATTATAAATTGTTTTATTTATTTAGTTTAATTCGGTTAACCGAACGAATAAATCAGTAATTTAGGTTCTGCTTTGGGTTGAGACAAATCAATAAAAAAAAGTAACTGCACTTCGAGGGCACATTCGTGTTAGATGGATTGCACATTAGTGACTATCAGGTTGCACTATAGCGACCAAAATTGACCGACTATGTTTTTTGGGTCCGAATATTATATTTTGGTTCGCTTATCTGTTTATACTTTTAACTTTTTTTTTTGGTTAGTTCGGTTTGACTTCAATTTTATTTCTCTTTTAACAAACAAACCGATCGAAATATAAAAAAAAAGTATTTATTATTTTTATATTTTAGGTCTTACAACAAAAAAATAAAAAATAAAAATAACCAAATATATTTTTATGATATATTTTGTTTGGCCAAAATTATGTTAAAATAATGAGAACCAATACGACATTATACTGCAGAATGGTCATAGCTCACTTTGTAAAAAGAATATGTAAAAAGACTTGGTTAAAGTAGCATTAGTCTTATTCATTTATATATTAAGTTTATTAACTTACGATCCAGCCCCTCAAAATTGTCTAATTTACAAAAATCAAACCCCCCAATTTCCAGCCCAATTTCCAAAATCGAGACATGTGCCTCTTCCTTCAAGTGAATCTCAATACTCAGAGTTTGTCAAGCCACTGCACGACAACGGTTGAACGTGAAGGAGATCTATGGTGGGATTTAGAATCGGCGGCGTCTTCGAAACTGTTGTGGTCACGTCACTCGGCGGGAGATGCGACGGCGAGAATATGGCTGCAACGGCGAGAATCAGCGGCGAGATTCTGTGCGACTAAACAACAGCCGCTCTTGCCGGCGTGAAGCTTGGGGCCGATGCAGACGGCGGTCGTTTCTGGAAGCTCGTCATTCTTGCGTGTGTTCGGCGGAGGCGACGGTCTGTGGCTGACCGGCTTGAAAATTGGGGCGGAGGCTGACGTCGGAGGCTGACGGTGGAGTCTGACGGCTCAGGCGCGGCGGCGAAAGGCGTGCTGTTGGCTGGCGACGGGTGGTGGTTCAACGACGGCCACAGACTTGCTGCGTGTGTGTGTGTGTGTGTGCATGTGTGTGTGTAGATCTGAGATCGATTTGTGAGAAAGGGTGATGAAAAGAAAATAGATATTTAATTGGTGAGTGGATCCCACATAATAAATGTATATTTACAAACTTACCCTTAATTATTGGTCAAATACACATATTTGACCACACTATGATCAAATAATTACTAGATTGCCATTAATGATTGACCATAGTTTGACTTCATCATAACCATTGATATGATTGATCATATGGTCCAGATTTATTCTCATTTCTATATATATATATATAGGGATTGGTTCCAATGCATCCACTTATTTAAAGTGTGGACGCGAGACTCATTTTTAGCCACAAGATTTGGTACATCATGTGTGGCCAAGATTTACTCTTTTTTTTATTATTTTAATTATTTAAATATTATTTTGACCCATTGACTCCGGTGTTGACCGTTGACTTCTGGCGAAATCCGTTGACTTCCGGCGTTGACTGTTGACTTCCGGCGTTGACCGTTGACAACTAATCATCCAACTAGGTTAGTTCTCTGTAGTTGCTAGGCTAGTTGTTTGTAGTTGCTAGGTTAGTTGTCTGTAGTTGCTAGGTTAGTTTTCTGTAGTTGCTAGGTTAGTAGTTGTCAGGTTAGTTCTCTGTAGTTGTTAGGTTAGTTGTTGCTAGGTTAGTTCTATGTAGTGCTAGGTTAGTTCTCTACAGTTGCTAGGTTAGTTCTCTGTAGTTGCTAGGTTATTAGTTGTTAGGTTAGTTCTCTGTAGTTGCTAGGTTAGTAGCAGCTTGGTTAGTTCTTTGTAGTTGCTAGGTTAGTTCCTTATAGTTGCTAAGTTAGTTCTCTATAGTTGCTAAGAACTGTCCGCATTTTAAGAGGTGGGCGCATTTTAAGAGCTGAGCGCATTTGATCCGCCCTCTATATATATAAAATTGTTGGTCAAACATTAAATAAAACCTTTTAATTATACCTACGTGGAATATTCCCGCAAAAAATCATTACTTACCAGCATTAATCATTTTTTTGCACTAATTACATAATCACTAATGAGATCAGAATAATTTTCATTGGTGAAAATCAGGATAATCCGGTTTTTAAAGAATGTTGACCAAACATCTTAAAATTTTTAATTATCATAATAATTTTGACTTGCTTAAGTGGTATAACCAAACATCTTAAAATTCATAAATAATAATAATAATAATAATAATAAT